CATCAGATTATTGTGGTATTCAGAGAAATTGTCCCTACTGCTTCTGATTTGGATCCTTCATTTGTAGCCAGTTTTTCTTAGTTGGGAGATACTCATCCAATTGCTATACTGTTTTTTTGTTCTCCTTCAGAATAATATTTATCTGAGGAGGACACAGGCTAGGTAGAGGGAATTAAGGTGTTTAACTTAATTTGAAGGTTTCAATGCTTGTGATAGCTGAACAAAAATACTAAAAACACTGAATTATTAAAAGCATAAACAGCATCCAGAATTGAAGAAGAAGAGCCCAAGGAGAAAACAGGACCATAACCTTGACTCTTCTTTGTAACTATCCTGCTCATTTTTGCCCTTCGGGGATTGAGGACAGCCCTACCTACTACACTCACCTGGTGAATTTGATGTTCTTTCCTTTGTAATGAGAGAAACATCATTAAATGTCAGTCTTTTGAATTCTTGGAGCTATTGTGATAAAAATGTCTCTTCCCATTAATTATTTTCTCCTATCTTAATTACCACAGAGGCCACATGCCAAACCCTCCACAGGCTCACAGCTGAGCAGGGGAGGGCAGTGCCCAACTTCAGGATGCTCTGGCAGCTGTGCCCTGGCCAGAGGCAGGAAAAGGAGATTGCCACCTGCACTGAAACCTGGAGCTGTGACATGTGGAAGTCTTGAGCAGTGATGCTAAAAGTGTAACTTGTGGTCCTTAAAACCCAGTCAAGTACATGGGACAGGTGAAGCAGAGGTGTCTCTTGTTCCATGCATAACAACGTGGGCTAGGGACAAGTTTATCAATACCAGCAACAGCACTGCTGCATGTTCATTAATATTTCTAGTCAAAGTATCTATCCCATAAACTCTTGGAAAGTTTCAGCTTTGTAGCAAGGGGCAGAGAAATAAAATTATGAAGAATATTTTGGATTTGGCAGTAAAGGCTGTTCTGGCAAGAACTGAAATGTGAGAATTTTGTTCATAGCTGTATCTGGGATCATTGATGTATTATTTACTCTTCCTTAGACCCTTATTTGCACACCTTGCTGTCCAATGATTAGAATAGCCAAAATCAATAAGGCAAGCTATTGATTGGAGGAACAACTTTGTTCAAAAGGACTTGTGGACTTTGTTTCCTTAATGATGCTGGGGAAGTTGTCAAATCCACACAAGAGACTGAGCTGTTCCCAGTAGCACCTGGATGCTGCCAGCTGAGGAAAGAGGATGGAAAAGATGCTGGTGCTCTGAAAACATTTATCACACTCATGGTCAGCCTTAAAGGCTGCAGGTTTTCGATAGCATAGCACATTTACTTTTCTATATTTCCTTTTTATATACAGAACCTCAAGTGAAAGTAAGAGTGAGAAGGTTGGCCATGTTGTAAAAGAACAAATCTGGAATTCTGGTTAGAACTCAGGCAGTATCTGAGGTAGATGCTTTTGGCACCCTGCCAGCAAGCACACAGGCACTAAGGAGCTAATGTTTGATTTCTTTCAAAGCACAATCTACAACTCAAATTCCCTTCTATTTGCCTTGGTAATGTGTGCCCAAACAACATTAACACAAGAGCATAGATTCTTTTCAGAGTAGATAAATCACTGGTTAACAGGAACTGAATGCAGGGGAGCACCATATAGAGGAACTTAAAGAAATATAGATTTTTTCTTTTCTGCCAATCCAGCAGTACAACTTCTCATGTAACTTACCACATCTGTATCCTATGTCAGACTTAAATTTTATTAGCATTGATATTTCTTTTCCCGGACTGCTTAGTACAGATTCTTCCTTTTCAAGCTCCTTAATTCAACTTCCTCCCATCTAAGACACTGATTTGCATTTTCCACCTTTTCAAATATCTGGACATCTAAATTCCAGATAAAAGAGGTGGGCATCCCTCCAACCCAGCACACTCTCTTCTGTGATTGAGCTGTTGCAGCTCTTTACAGTCATTCTCCAATGTAAAAAATGTCAAGAATTGTAAAAGCTATTTCATATGCAGACAATAATTTTTCAAAGTGCAAGATTGTTTTAAAGGATGTATTACACACAATTGTCCAGCTTCCAACACCCTGATATACAGATTGCAAAATTATTTCAAGAGCTAGGACATTTAAAAAAATCAAACTAAAGAACATTATAAGAGAGCATACATGGGAAACTCCTATGATTCTCTTTTTTTTGAGGGCAACATAGAGGTTCCTGACATCTAATTTCTGTCCTTAGATGAAATTATCAAAATTGATAGATCATTATTGCCTAATTTGAGATCCATTTTCCATAAAAGTCTTCCTTTGTGCTTTATTTACTACTGGAAAGGCAGGATACCTGCACACATTTAGGTCAGTGGAGAGCATTCTGTGGCACTGTGGGGACTGCAAGGGTTATTAGAAACCTTTGGTGTGGTTGTTTATTCCTGCAAAAATCTATTCCTGAGTACAACAAAGAAAATGTACTGTAAGATACTATAACCATGTGGCAAAAAGAATTTTCTTTCATACAAGGCAAGTATTCTTTGGTAGCCCTTTCTTTTGTTTTCTAATTAAGTTTGTTGTTTAGCTGAGAAAGAGTTCCTTCATGCCCCAATGTTGTATCATGAGAAGCAGTAGGAATGCACACAAGGAAAAGCTGAACAGCTCTTGCTGGTTTTGAGGCTTTAGCAGCAATTCCCTGATTCCAAAGCACATTCCTGGCAGCTGGGACAGCTGCACCTTGGAAATGTCTCTGTTCTGTGAGTCGAGACGGTGGCAGCCACATAATGCAGATTACACTGAGTGTGACAAACATCAAAACTTCAGTGTGACTTCTCCTCCCCAAAAGCTGCTTCACAGTCAGGTGAGGCTGGGAAGAGCTGAGAGAAGTGCCAGGCTGTGTGTGAGGACCAGGCTGCCCCTCCAGCCCCCAGCTCCAGCCATGCCCAGCTCTGGGAGCTGCTTCTCCTCTGATTCCCACACAGTGACATCACCAACCAGTTTACCTTAAAAACCCCACAAGAAAGTTGGACAAGAATGCTTTTTTTCAGCCTCTGAATCACATCTAGCTGTGACAGCAGATGGGGAATCTACTCATGCCATTGTGAATGAAAGAACCATCTGTGTGAGCGAGTGCTGTGAGTTAAAACTTGTCTGTGTCCCACCAGGCTGCTGTGAGCTGCCCAGGGGGAGCGAGGCTGGCACTCAACCCACCCCAGGCAGCCTCAGCTGCTGACTGCTAAAGCACTGACAGCATGGACCCAAGAGGGGAAGGTCAACAAGAGGACTGTGACCACATTTCTTTATAGACAATTGCAGTGGGAATCAAATGGGATGATTCATTCCTGAATATAAATAGTGTCAAGCACTCCAAAAGCCCAGTCCTGAACAGTTTTAAAATCAGGGCTGGAAGGAGCTGAGCTCTGCATTCCCAGGAAGTCTCCAAGGGTGCACTCACAACTTTGGGTGTTGGCAGCAGGATTAGGCACATTGGCCTAACAGATTTTGGGTTGTGGCTTTTGCTAATCCAAAACTTTCTTTATTTGAAAGATTAATCTCAGTCTGAGATTCAAAGGGAAGCAATACACTGCTTCTTCCATCATTTGTTCATGTCGGCAAATATGAAGAATTTGTGGCTTGGTTTGGATCCCTTTTTTGTCCATTAGCATTGGAAGAGATTTCCTAGACATCCTGAGCTTTCCAGTGTCTAGATTCCAAACCAAAAGAAACTGGTTTCCCACTCCATTCCCTAAAAGCTGAGGACTATTTAGATATATGTTTATATATTTATTTCAAAACCCAATGTAAATTATATTTGTAATTCAAGAAATACTAACGTGAACTACAGACCCTACTTGAATCATATGGAAGCCATGGACTCACATGGCAGAGACTTCTCTTGTAGTCCTCTGATCATAATTTCTCTGCCCTTATTTCTACTTTCTGATTTAATAAAGTTGGGGGAGTGTGGGAGGCTAGCATTATGCATACTTCTTTAAATGAAGTTGAATCAGTGCAACACTAAAAGTCATTATATTGCTCCTGCTTCAAAATCTGTTTCCAGACATCTCATGACATCACCTGAGACATGAGTCACATAGACATTGTAAGAGTTCTTTTTAGCAATGCTGGAATGACACAGCAGTGTCTGCACTTTCAGCTGCTGCTTCTAAATCTCTGCTTACAAAATATCAGACAATAAAAACCATAGATTGTGTGTGTACAAGTAAGGTTTTATTCCTGTGGTCTTGGTATTCTGCAAAAGGACTACTGCAGTATTTTTCTTGCAGTTTTAAGTAATTAAAGAACAGTTGAACATCTTGCTCTAAAAGACACTAAAGGAGTCTCTAGGAAATGCCCTGGTGGAGTGCAGGATCAGTAGAGTTCCTGGGACTCTCTTGGCCTGATTGGATGGCAGGGGTGGAAGAAGCTCATGTTGATCCCTTCCCCAGTGATTGGTCACATCAGGATCTCACCACTACTGCAGTTACAGGTAGAAATCCTACACAAACACTACACTGAGCAGCTTTGCTCTGTGTGCACCTTTCAGAGAGAAGTGGGCAAATTCAATATTTGTCTCTATTATCTATAATGCATGTTAGGGCTGGGCTGGGATATTCACAGGACATTTTGCTAATTTGGCAGATTCTATTCCCTTATTTTCCCTGGTTAATCTGCACCTGTAAGGATGTAGGGCACCAACAGACTCATGATCAGAACTGTGCATTTTTACTTGGAAATCTCTCCATCTGTGAAATAAGAGTGTTCTTCACAGTGAACATTTCAGTAATCTGTACAATTTGCCTACTCATCCTGAACTTCCCAATGTCCAGACTCCAAACCAAAAGAAACTGGTTTTCCACTTCATTGCCTAAAAGCTGAGGACTATTTAGATGCTTATACATTCATTTAAAAACTCAAACAAGCAAACCCAAACAAAACCCCAGACATGTTACTCAGAGAATTGCATGTTATAGCCCTGCCTTCCTGGCAGCTTTATGGTAAGGTTGCTCCATGAATTCTCACTGATGCTGTTTTTGCAGCCTTGCTTAGAGCTGTTCTCCATGCCAAAGCACAGTTTTTGGAGAAGCAATGTTATTAATCTGACAACGTGCCATGGAAGCTCTCTGTCACCTTGTCCTAAAACAAAAACTCCAGTGTCTCCACTGCTGCTGAGCAGTTGCCTCTGCGTTTGGTAAGTCACCTGCAACTTCAGCAGGATCCAGACAGTAAATTGTTTTCTTCTTGTTGTTGTTCCTGTCATGCCACCTGTAATGCAGGAAATAACTGAAGGGAATAAATCTTGTCCAAGACCTTCTCTTACACCTCAGTCTGGATTGTGTTCAATGTCCCATCACTACACCATTATAATTATCTGTTCATATAATTTATTTTCATTTAAAAATACATTTTAATAATGAAAACTTAAATTATGGAATTTATCTGCTTAATATTTCCATTAGCAAGCTTTTGTTCTGTACTATAGACTCAAGTACATGCAGTGATAACTGGGTGGAAAAACAGCTCAAGTGTATTTAGGAGAAACGGGGGGCACAATGTCAAGGGTTCCCAGTGGTGGCATCCACCTGCAGAGAGGGACTGCAGAAGACAATGAGTTCCTAAGCAAGCAGGAGGGAAGGAGAAGTTTGTCTCCTGTAGCTTGGTAGATTGACACATGAATAAGAGATGAAACCACAAAACTAGGATATATATGCTGTTAAAAATGAGTCAACGTAAATAGTAAATCTTGTTTGACAGACTTAATGAAATTTATTTAAGGGCAAGTGCTGAGGACACAGGAGGCTGACCAAGGCAGGAAATAACAGAATCCACATTCAGGAAAAGACACCTCATGTTTTGCAGCTTTGTGGACTATCCAGTGGAGGTAACAACAGGACAATACTGAGAAAATAACACTGAAATATGGAAAAGGAGTAATGGCAGGAGTCTGGAATGGGCCCTCATTTGAACCTGCACTGCAGCACTTTTCAGCATTTGTATCACATGAGCCTAAGGAAAACAGCCTTCAATTTATCCTGCATGCTGACCTTTGCCTCTGGCCTTGAGGGGCCAAGTTGTTGTACCTGCTATTAAAGAAGTCATGGCATCTTAAAATAGAATTAAGAGCAGATTGCCAACGTGCTTTTTTTTCCCTGCTGTTGTCAGTGACCTACAAGATCCATTTATAAATACTGCTCACTAGTTTCTCCAGGCCCTTACTCACCCGAGTGGAAAGGCCAAGGACTGTTTCTGCTGCAGCACAGATGAAGAAAATTATTTCCACCCAGAGAAGAGGGCAGTGACCTGTTTTGCTCTTATATAGCCTACTGGTGTCTGTGCAGAGCTTCCTTGATTGTCCTTGATTAAGATCTCAAATCTGTTTCCAGGAAGGGTAGGATTAAAATGCAAAATCAAGAAGGGCAGCTGGATAAGTTCATTCGAGTTTGAAGCTTGAGCGTATTGTGCTACCAAGGCACAACAACCATTCAGGGAAGATTGAGTGTTATCCATCTAAAATGTTATTTCCTGCATTATTTCTATGTTCTCTTTTCCTTATTTCCAGGATATCAATGATCAAGGTCTGGTTTCCCCACTTGTGGGACAGTTTGGAATGTACCAGCCATGGAGTCCACTCTCCCTGATGGCCCTCAGCATCTTCAAGGGCTCAAATCCAGAGGAACCTTCCTGTGATACCTCTGGCACTGACACCATCTCCCTGCTCAGGAGATCTAGAGCTCCTCTTGGAACGTATTTTCTTCTTCAGATGAGGTGTTCTGGCCCTGTTTGCAACTGCAGAAAACCAGAACCAATCTCTTGTAGGTTGTGCTGAGCTCCCACCTCAGACTGGGCACCTTCCCTCTGTGAGGGTGTAAAATGCCAGAAACAAAGCCCCCCTTCAGCTCCTGTGTCCCTGCTTGCCCCACATGGAACTGTGCAGGATGGAACCCACAACTTCTCTCGGGTCCCTGAGCTCTCAATGCCTCCCTGAAAAATCAGCCCAGCAACCAGCAAGGACCACAGGAAGAAAATCAGCATGACCAAGGAGTCATCCAGCCCTAGGGCAGCACAGGTTGATGGAACTTGAGGGACAATTCAATCTTCATTCTTTGGTTTGCTGCTCCCAGCTAGAGCAGGAGCCTGTCTGTGAGAGCTGCCTTCAGGGGCACGGCTCCTTTTATCAGCTGGGCACTGCACCCGGTGCCACCTGCTTGTGACAAACCTGGACAGGAGGAGGTTCTGCCCTGGGCCTTGCCTGGCACTGCTCTGGAGTGACCAGCAGTCCTGGTGCTGCATCTCCATGGATAAGGACACCAAAGTGAGTGCAGAACGTGGACAAAGCCCACGGTAATTACTCAGGGCCTGATCCTCAGTAAGGACACCTTAGCTGTAGGAACCGCTTTTGTTGTGAAATTCCATTATTCCATGAGATTTCTTTTGCAGTGAGGTCCTGATCCCAGCTTCTGCATGAAGTGGAAACAGATGAAGTTGCAGGATGGTCTGATACACATTTTGCCTGTTTAATGAGCTTGGGATTTTTAATAGCTAATGCACTGCAGTGTGTTTTGGCTGAGTCCCTAAGATGTTTCAAAGCCCAATTATCTCCTGCAAGGTCAGTAGGCACTTATTCTTAAGGGCCCATGAGTCAATATATGTTTGCATTCTATGGTCCCTTTGATGTTTTAATGTTTGTTATAAAAATTGCCACAGTGATTCATTTGCATGTATTTCTTCTTTGTTTGGAAGGGAATCGCTTGGAGTGGCTATTTTAAGGGTTGTTAAGTGGAACAACCTAAGTGTGAACACTCTGAAAAGATAAATGGAAACATTTAATATTTATGCTCTGCTATTCTACTGTGTCTCAGTCACGTAAAATCAGATCACTATCCTCCAGCTCTTGTTTTAAAAAGATAGCACTAAAAATAAGAAAATGTAGCAATAATTGACTTGTTAAAACAAATGTGATAAACAATTCAAAGGCACAGTTCTATCACATTTGCAATGCTGAAAGTGTGCTGAAACCATGCTGAAATAAAGAAATACAAAAGAAAAGATTCTTCTATCCTAAGGCAACTATTTTACAGTGAGGCTGCTCAGCCATAGCTGCATCCAATGTGATTTTGAGCTGCATCAGCCCCTTGCTCCTGCTCCCAGTACATCCTGAACTACATCCTGCAGTTCATATCTCCTGGCAGCAGTGTTAGTCTGCAGAGTTCCCTCAATTTTATTCACAATTTTCCCTACACAACAGCTTGTGAGTTTACCGTACAAATCTAATAATCAGTTCTTGTGTTAGCAAAAAGGGACTGTGAAAGGCAGCACAAAATCTCCTTGAATGGGCTTTGCTGCAGGAGCCAGACAGTTCCAAACACGGCCTCCCAGTACTTCAGGCAAGATCCTGATCCCAATTCTGTCAGCAATAAAACTATGGCTATGAAAATGCATATTTTACCAGATCAGAGCTGTACTGCCTCCAGGAGCAGAGCTGATGGAGCTGATGGAGCTGATGGAGCTGATGGGCAGTGGCACAAGGACCCCACACAGCCACCCTGAGTGACAACCACAGCCTCACCTCAAAGCCATTCCCTCTGGGAGACTCCCAGCCTCGAGCTATGAGATGAACACAACAATTAAACTTGGTGCCAACCAGCATAAATTTACACATTGCCCACATACAGAGCTAGCCCCTTTTCGAATCTTAGTCCTTAAATTTGGAGGATTAGGATCCACTGTGCTACACAGACAAAGGGATTCCTTGTTAAGAGCATTTTGAATCAAGCTCCCACAGACAGACTGATCAGTGCATTTGTAATATCTACAGTCAGTGTTCAACTTCTGACATATCTTGGTCTCTGATTGAATTCTGAAAGGCTATTTTTGTCCTTCAAATGGAAGTTAACAGATCTATTTATCATTTCCATGGGTTTTGAGGAGTGTAACAGAGCTATTTTTTCCTGCTGTGAAACATTTGGCAAACATTTTTTGACTGACAATAAGTTTTATAGGTGCAGACGTTTGCAGGCAATACATGAACTAAAATTCACCATTTAATTGTTTCAAGTCATTCACCCATTCTAACAATGTCTAGTAGTATCCCATATTAGGGTTAAACCTTCATTCTCAGAATTGAAACTTGGCTGCTAAATATAAACTTGAGCCTAATCCAAGATCTTGCCTCAAAAATGTTGGTTTATACAGCTGACTGTGCTAAGTGGGGACAGAAAGCTGTTATGCTGAAGTTCTTTACTATTTTAAAGCAACTTTACCAGCAATTCCTTTGCTGTATCTCTCCCTGTCACATTGCTGGTCACAGCTAAAAATACATGGAATATTTTTACCACTCTCCCTGGGGCAGTAGGTGAGGGCAGTGAAATGCTCAGGGGCTTTCACTGCTGACATCCTGTGTGTCCAACCACACTTGCCCAGGGACAAGGCTGGGTGAAGAAACACGAGCAAAAATAATCTGTGAAGACTGATCTGAAGGTAAACTCCTCCCTTGTGAATAAAGGTCTGTTAGAGCACTGAGAAGACTCAGCTCTCCTCAAAAGAAGGGGATACACCCACAGCACCTGGTGTGACACTCACTCACATGGCAGCTGCTTCCTCCTTCCTCCTTTCCTCCTCCTCCTCCTTGGACTAGGGTGCAGCTTGACCCTGCTTTTGTCTGTCCTTTAGAGTATGATCCATCTGCAGCTGAGAAGAGAAACAAAATCTTTTTGGTTGGAACAAACCTTTAAGACAGAGTTTTGCTGCTGAGTCCACACCAAATCAGGTCCCTGTGCTCAGGTCTTCACTTGTGCTTGGCTATGCTGCTCATCTGCAGAAAAAAAAGCAAAAGAAATCAAAGGTGAATTTAGCTGCCAGCTGGGGATTTCTACTCTGTGAATATTCAGAAACACTTGCACATATTTTCTTCCATCTTATTCCAAAACTGGCAAAGGAGGTATAAATAACTATCTTGCTGCATGTTAATAATGACCAAAAAGAGCTAGAAAGTTTGGGTGAATATTAATAATTATTAGTATTTAGAATTTATTAAGAGGGATCTCCTTCTGTTAAGGAAGTAATAAGACCTCAGACTTATTACAGAACTGGAATTTAATCTTCAGGTTTTCAGACAAGAATGTGTTTCCACATGGAAATACAGAATGGTTTGGGTTGGAAGAAACCTTGAAGCTCATCCCATCCCTGCCATGGGCAGAGACACTTTTCTCTATCCCAGGCCGCTCCAAGTCTCAACCTGGCCTTGGACATTTCCAGGGATCCAGGGGCAGACCCTCTGGGCCCTGCCAGGGCCTGCCCACCCTGCCAGGGAACAACTCCTTCCTTAAACCTGTTACAAACCCACTCTCTTTCAGTTCAAAGCCATTCCCTCTTGTCCCAGTCCCTCTCCAGCTCTCCTGGAGCCCCTTTAGGCCTTGGCAGGGGCTCTGAGCTCTGCCTGGAGCCTTCTCCTCTCCAGGTGAGCACCCCCAGCTCTCCCAGCCTGGCTCCAGAGCAGAGGGGTCCAGCCCTCAGAGCATCTCCATGGGCTCCTCTGGATCTGCTCCAGCAGCTCCATGTCCTTGTGTTGGGGTCCCGGAGCTGAACGCAAAGAGCCAATTTGATCTTGTGCTCTTCCTATTTAGTGTATTTTCTCAAGACAGGATCAAAGGAGTAGTTGGTGTGGTCTCCATGGCAGCCTAATTAGGTAGAATTTGTTCCCCTTTTTGCCACATAAGGTACCTATTATTAGCAAATAGCCCTGTGCCCCTGAGGAGAAAAGCAGCACTGCTGTGTGTGGTGGTACAACAGAACATCCTGATCACGTTGGCCACGGGTAATTCACTGTTTGGCCATAGTACAACAGGCTGTGTTCTTAAACAGCCATTACTGCAAAAAGGTTTTCATCCCTGGCTCTTCAAACAGGAATGTGTTCTTCCTACCCCTTTCTTCTTGCTTCTGGTTATCAACTATCAGCTGAAGCTCAGAAAAAACTCTTCTGTTCTTTATCTCTGTAGTCCAGCACAAGCAGGAAATGAGGATTTTGGCTTTAATAAAGAGCTACACTGGAGAGCACAGATTTGTCTGGGAAGCTTTTTAGCAAATCTGTAAATTTATGGACCACAAAGGAAATCAACAAAACTGCTGAATAGAGCTTATGAGATTTATTGGTTTATAAACTGTATAAATCCAATAAGGTTTACTCAATATTGCAGTGAAATGACCTGTTGGTTTTATCTGATAAGCAAAGTGATCTGTAAGCTAAACTGTTCACTAAATATCTCCCTGGTTACTCCTAAACTGTACCCATGGAATGCCAGGCAATCTACAAGCATCCTCAGAAATTAAAGCAGTAGCATCAGCACTCATTTCATATCCCATCCTTCAGTAAGAAAATTCAGTAAGAAGCACTGTTGTCCTACACTGTTCTCCAAATCTCTGAAGCATCAGCTAGAAACCACTAAAAGCATAAAAATGTGAATTTACTTGGCTCTTGTACTGATCCAAAGGTTCAGGTAGCCAAGGAATCTCTCCTGTAACTGAAGGCAGTCAGGTTTGTTCCTGCTTTGTCTCCAAAGACTGCTCTGCCACCTGGAACAACACAAACTCATTTTATAGACAAGCCAGCCAGGTAGAGCTCGAGCTGTCCCCTTGGCAGGGGTGGTTTGGGGGAGCCATGGTGCAGGTCAGCTGAGGGATGGTGCCTGCTCAGGACAAACCAAACCTGTCCCTTCACAGCTCTTCATCTCTAGCTGCACACCTGAGTGAGGAGAAAGGAGGAATTCTTCAAACCCACAGAAGTGCTTTTAGTGAAATGGGGCTTTGGTGGTATTCACATGGCAGTTGCCAAAGATCCCTGGGATCTCTGGATGTGAGGAAAATGTGTTTTGGTGGGAAAAGTAAGTGTACCTCTGAAACAGCTCTAGCACATACCTCTTAACAAGCTCCAGTGGATGGAAGGTTGATTTTTTCAGCTACATGCACAGGAACTCAGCTTTTCAAAGGGGAAAGGTTCCTGAGCCAGCAGGAGCTACCCCTGTTCTTGAGGGTAAAAACCAGAGAGCCTCACACACTTGGTGTGGTGAAGAGCTGAAGGGGTTTCTGTGCCAGTCTGCCTGTTCCACTCCAAACAACACAGGGTGTGACTTGGGGTGTCCTGTGCAGGGCCAGGAACTGCACTCAGTGATCCTTGTACATCCAGCTCAGCTGATTCTGTTCTTGGTGAATTGTTTGGTTTCCCTCTATTCTGTGCCTATCAATCCCTTCCTCTTGCACTAAAAAAAGTACAACTTTTTAATCAAAGAGGAGCATTCTGCCTCTCTAGTCCAAGGTAGAAATGCATTGAATGATTATCCAGAGTGAAGGTTTCTGTGTCAGAAACCAGCAACCACATATTCCCAACGAAACAGGGACTTGAACAGTGAGAACTCTCTGGGGTTGAGCAGCAGGAATTCAAACACCCATTTTGTCCCTGGCAGAAGTTAAACATATTCTCTTTATCTAATCCTGAAGTTGAACATAATCAACAGGTTTATGTAGAAATTTCTCTAAATTCTCAGCAGAAAAATTAGTTTTACTGCCTGAAGTGAATGACTTTCAATCCATGCAGGCTGTGCTTTCAGAGGCTCTTTGGGGCAGAGGAATGAAAGTTCAGCTCCTTTGTGGAGGGCTCTGAACGATGCTCCTTGGAAACTGAAATACAGGCAGCCAGCTGAGATTGCTTGTGAAAATGAACACTTCTCATTTATAATTCATAGGAAATAAATACCCATCCTGAATGGTTCAGCAGAGTGTTTTTGTACCTTTGTAACGATGAAGGGAATTTCGTATGAGGGAATTTCCCTTGTCTT